TATGGTGTACCATATAGTTGTATAAGACTTCACTGTAAATAAATTCTGGCTGCCTAAAATTTTTAAGCTGAATCAAATTAATCGTATGAGTCCATTTAACTTATATTATGTTAAACTGACTTAAACCTGCTTGAAGAACCTATAAAATTAAGTTAGAACATGATTAACTTATTAAAATAAGTTACAATGAACTAAAAACATATGCTATCATGACTAATTGATCATATTTTTTTTTTTTATAGTGTACAACAGGAAGACCATAAAAAGTACCATAACAAGTTAATTAAATGATTAACTATAGTTTGGTTCAAAACATTATAGTATTTAGCAGGCTATGATGGTTATATATAGTAAATGATTTTAGTATTTTACTTGGTAATGTATCACAGCTTTACCAAAGGCATATTACATTACAAAGTCTGTCACAAAATAAAAATAAATCAGTGACAGTTCTATTCATACAAGTTGTCTCCGAAATTAAATATACTATAGTAATTTATAGTAAATACTGTTTCTGAACCATGCTATAGAAATGTTGTGGTAATTATGTAGTTGCTGTGGAAATTCACCCAAGTAATATAGTAAAAATGTTACAATCATGTAAACACTGGTACATTTTCTAGAACTTTATATGCCCACATTACAATTTATACTACACTGTTTATTACAGTTTGTCAATTAATGACCAATGATACTACAGTATGCTGTATCATTTATAAACAGATCATTTTAAATGCTATCATATGTACAGTATTTTATTTTAATAAATGTTTCTAGTAAACTGATAAACTGTAGTAAATACTGTAGTAGGCATATACATTAGTTTTACCACATTAAACTGTGTCGCAGTGCTGTATGGTGTACCATATGGTTGTATAAAACTACACTGTAAAAAAATTCTGGCTGCCTAACGTTTTTAAGCTGAATCAAATTAATCGTATGAGTCCATTTAACTTATATTATGTTAAACTGACTTAAACCTGCTTGCAGAACCTATAAAATTAAGTTAAAACATGATTAACTTAGTTTAATAAGTTACAATAAACTAAAACATATGCTGTCATGACTAATTGATCATATAATTGTCAACAGTGTACAGTTTTGGTTAATTTGTTTACATTAACAGTTGTTGTGCTATTAAGACCATAAAAAAATTAAATGCTTTACTATAGTTTGGTTCTAAACATTATTAGAGTATTTAGTAGGCTATGATGATTATATTTAGTAAATGATTTTAGTTTTTTTTCACTTTGTAATGTATCACAGCTTTACCAAAAGTATATTACATTAGACAATAACCGGTTTCAAGGTTTACCACGGTTTACCACGGTTTAGAAAAGTCAAGGTTTTAATACAGCTAAAATGTTTTGTTATAGTGTTCCAGAGGTATATGTAAGGTTTTTCTTATGTATTTTTTGTGTTGTAAAGAAATCTGTGTTTTTGAAACTAAAGAAAAGAGCAAAAGTCAATAATTTATTTCAACTATTTAGCCTGTTTTTTTTTTTTTTTTTTTTTTTTACATGCATGTTTAAAAATAACTTGTTTTAGAGCAGTAATCACAATACCGTGATACCATGGTATTTTAGCCACGGTTATCATATCATCAGAAACTTATAATGGCCCATGCCTATATTACATTAAGTATGTCACAAAAAATAATAATTATAAATCAGTGACAGTTCTAGTCATACAAGTTGTCAAACAGCCAAATTAAATATTCTATAGCAATTTATAGTAAATACTGTTTTTGAACCATGCTATAGAAATATTGTGGTAATTATTTAGGTGCTGTGGAAATTTAGCCAATAAGTAATATAAAAAATTGTACAACACTAGAACTTTTTGCCCATCTCAAATTTTACTGCAGTAAAACCTAATGTACTGTGTATGTACAATGTTTATTACAGTTTATCATTTAATGACCAATGATACAGTATGCTGTAGCATTCATGAACAGATTATTGTAAATACTGTCATATATACAGTATTTTATTGTACGAGGCAGTCCATAAATCATCAGGATAAATGTCATTTAGACACTTTGATATGTTTGTCTTTGACCCCATGACCAGTGATGCCATTTTGAAACTGATATTGACATAACTCTCTCCCTGTTGTAAAATAAAATGTACTAATTACCACCGCTGGGAGCACTAAGGAAGCGAACTGCATGAGTATGCAAATTCAAGATTTACCCAATTTACCCAGAAATGAAAATATTCTCAGTATTTACTATTTTTTCAAGTGGTCAATGCTTTTTTTTTTTTTTTTTTGTACTAAGCTGGAAACCTGTAACCATTTACTTCCATAGTAAGAAAAAGCTATGGAAATCGATGGATACAGGTTTTCATCTTTCTTCAAAATATCTTCTTTTACGTTTAACAGCAGTTAAACAGGTTTGGAACAAGTAAGGGGTGAGTAAATTATGACAATTTTCAGTTTTAGGTGAACTATGCCTTTAAGATTTTGTAAATTATGTTTAGAGAGAAAAATGTCCACACATTTTTGAACAAAATAGATTAATAACTAATTTATAATGACTTACTTTTTGTCCTTGCCATGATGTCAGCACATTTGTATAACCACAATACTAGTATTCAGCTTAAAATTAAATGTAAAGGCTTAATCAAGTTAACTAGGCAAGTCTAGTTAATTGGGCAAGTCATTGGATAACAGTGGTTTGTTCTGTAGCCAATCTGAAAAATAAAAAAATCTTTTAAGGAAGCTAATCTAATTGACAAAAAATAATCTTCATACTTTATTCACACTTTATACTTGTATAGGAATCGACTAAAAATGCCTATAGTATCTCTCTTTTTCTACATTGTGTTACAAAATTTATGCTAGCATTCATAAATTTTGAGCAAAGCAAGTGAAATCAAATCCCAATGCAGCTCCTCACAGGAGGATTTGCTTTCTGTCAAATCATCATATCATAATTCATAGAGCTACACATTGGCTGCGCTGAAGCTGTTCACACGTTTATTCTTACACCAAACCATACTGTACATAATATTATTAAGAGATCAGCTCATTACTCATTTATAAACATTAAAAGTCATGTTACGTCATAGATATATAATTAAAATGAACTTTTTATAGCAGCATGTTAAGAAAGTAGTTCACACCAAAATTGAGATTTTCTCACGATTTACTCACCTTTCAGTGCTGACAAACGTTTTTGAGTTTGTTTCTTTTATTGAAAACAAAAGATAATAATTAGAAAATGTTGGAAATCTGTATCCATCATATGAAAAAAAATAAAACTATGGAAAATGATGGCTACCAGTTTTTAACATTCTTCTTAATATCTTTTTTTTTTTGTGAAGGAAAAAAATGAAACTTAACTACGAAAAGTCTAAAACAAGTGCAGGGCGAGTAAATATTGACAGATTTTTAGTCTTGGGTGAATCATCCCCAGTAATGCCATACTTAAATAATAAAACCCATGCATTTGAAATGCACACATTTGCCAAGGCAATAATAAAGGACTTTTATTATTGCACAATTAGTATTTGCATCAACACAAACCTACCAAACTACTCCAGCAGACCGGCACCATTTTCAATGGTTTAAAAATAACCTGCTTAATTGACATGGCTATTCCCAATAGTATTAAATAGACTAATAGCAGAATTACAAGTTTAATCCAGAAAGCAGGTGTTCGCCATTTGGTCCAGGAAAGAAACTGTGTGTTAAATCCTTCAGCTCCAATGTAAGAGTCAGGGTTGTCAAGCAAGAGGTGCTCACCCAAAGAAGAAGGCTGCGAGCACGATTCAAACGTGCTGTTGACAGGCAATGACAGTTTTTAATGACATTCTTTGATGGCTCAGCAAAACCTCAGATTTCTCTTTAAGGAACTGCAGTGGATCAGACACGCATCTGAAATTCACACCACAAATACCTTCCGTGTTCCCTTCTTAAAAATAACTCAACCTTTGAAGATGTTATTCTTATTATTTGATCTATCTATCTATCTATCTATCTATCTATCTATCTATCTATCTATCTATCTATCTATCTATCTATCTATCTATCTATCTATCTATCTATCTATCTATCTTTGCTGTTTTTAAGACTTGCCACATCTGGCAAATGATACCTGCATTCAAGTCTTGTACTAATAAGGGTAAATACAGTTTTAGATGAAGAAGTACAAAAGCAAATGCGTAGGGCCTTGAATTTACTCACCCAATGATCCATCAAGACATAAACCGGACATCATTCTGCAATAATCATAAAATATTATAATTATATGGGTATTGACCTTGTAAATGGGGTTTGAAAAAAAGTTGAAGAATCTTACCTTGATGATAAACCAACAAGCGGAAGTTTGCTTGGAAATCAATTATGAGTTGTAGATTGAAGTCAAATGAAACCTTGTGGACATGGTGCTAAGCTTGAGGATGAAACAGGATATTCGTGAAAAATGCAGAGCAAGTCTTTGTGAGATATGCAAAGTGGTATCTCTTATACAGACGGATTAAGGGCTTTGGAAAATATAGTATGACAGTCAGTTTAAGGCACAGCAAGATAATTAATCTAGTACATATTAAGACTATAAGCAATTGTCAGCAAATAACTCATGCACTGCAAAAAAATGCTTTTCTCACTTAGTTTTTTGTCTTCTTTCTAATCCAAATATATAAAAATTCTTAGATTAAGAAACAATTTCTAGGCAAGCGAAACAAAATGTCAAAAGGGAAAACAAGCTTACTGTTTGGCTGTTTTGCTTACCCCATTGGCAGATTATTTTGCTTGTTTCAAGGAAAAACTCACTTAATATTGCCATATTATTTCAGAAATCAAGACAATATGTTTTGCTTGTCCAGAAAATGCTTCTTGATTTAAGAATTTTTAGATATTTGGACTAGAAAGAAGACAAACAGTCTAAGTCAGAAAAGCATTTTTTTGCAGTGTAACAAGATGAGGAATGTCTCAGTCATATACGATTCCTTAAGAGTGTAAATGAAGAGTTAAAAAAACTGATAAAACAGAAAGCAGCTTACAGTTGTTTATTTAGAAAAGGCACTTTTGACAAACAGTCAATCTATTGAGAAATACATACTGAACCTTTCATTCTGAACCTTTCAGTTTTACTGATTGTAAATTAAACTGTCCATTTTCTGCAGAACGATCAAAGTGAAAACTCTGTCATCATTTATTTGGGGTGTACCCACACTATGTACAGTTGCCTCGTACCGGGCCAAAGCACACTTGTCCCCCCTCCTATCTCCCCCGATGGCCTGCACTCACATTACAATCAGGCCAGGGCACGTTACATCATCGATGCTGCGCTGTTCAGTAAGCACTCACGCTCAGCACAGTGGAGATTTCTCTAGTTCACAGGTGTCAAACTCAGTTCCAAAAGGGCCGCAGCTCTGCAGTTTAGTTCCAACCCTAATTAAACACACCTCATCAAACTAATTGAGTTCAGGCTTGTTTGAAACCTACAGGTAAGTGTGTTGGAGCAGGGTTGGAACTAAACTGTGCAGGGCTTCGACCCTCCAGGAATTGAGTTTGACACCCCTGCTCTAGTTATACCGCTTTTGTCCTTAGGGATGCGGTGACACGCAGTCAGATATTTCGCCGGACAGTAGGGTTGTAACGGTATGAATTTTTTACGGTATGATAATCGTCTAAACCAATACCACGGTTTGACGGTTTCGCGGTATACGGTATGTTACAAATGTTACAAAATAATAGAACAGTGAAGCAAATTTGACTTTTTCCAAATAATATATTTTCAGTTACTATAAACAACACCACTTACAATGAACAAATAAAAAAATAAGAAAATAATAAATAATGTGTCTAAGTCCAAATAAAGTCCAAATAAACATGGTGCAAATCCTCAGTAAAAAAAATAGATATAAATATTTACTATACTATAAATAGTTACATAACGAAACTAGATTTAATATGGAACATCCTTAGGTTTTATGTGCCAGCATGGATATGGTTGTCTGTGGATATGGATTTGGATATGGTTGTCTGCAATGCAGACAAACAGCTGCACCTTCATTTGCGTCTTTTGAAAACAGCAAGAGCAGCAGTTCGTCTTTGCTGTGTCACTGTTTTGTCATGTTTCTGTGCTGCTGTGCATGCAAAAGTACTTAGTATGAGAATTATTTCATGCAAAACTTTTTTTTTGCGTTTTATTTAGCCGCGCATAAATGTATGCCTATCTCTCATTCTGTGTTGTTCAAAAAGCTCGTTTTTGGTCCACAAACAAAAGCGAAACCTATGCTTATTGGTTGTGATATAGCGAGTTTGAACCAATCTGGGCATGGAGGAGGGACAATGCATCAATGTATCGTGTCTGGTTTGTCCGGAGACAGTGACGAGCGTTTCTTTGTCAAATCAGCGTTGTCAAATTTTGATGACGTAACCGCACTGATTCCGGAGCCTCAGGAGCCGCGAATGTTATGTGATACAGCACTGGAAAGCTGAGATTCTCTTCTTTATGCCAATCTTTGAATTGTATGAATCGGATCAGCGAATCAAAAGTTATTAAACATTTAAGAGCAATACTTATTTTTAGCCGCGGGCAGCTGTCTCTGTCTTTAAGGGTTAAAACCGTTGATATGCAATTGTTCATGGTATGATAATCGTGCACGTTCAAATCGTGGTAGACCGTCATACCGGTATATTGTTACAACCCTACCGGACAGATGAGGCACTTTTGACGCTCATAAACAATCATAAAGCCCTCTTGCTGCAGGAATTAGGAGGTTTGCTGAAGGTGCGCAGCTGTCGTGCAGTGAGGGGTTTGCGTATTTAATAAACTACAGCAGTTTGCGTTCACTGAACAGTAAGAATGATAAATAAATCCATATGAAACAGTCCCTTAAACGTCACGTCTAGCTTTTAGTTTCGGGCTTTGGTGCATTTTGCACTCACACACAAGCGTCCCGCGCCAAAGCCCAAGTGAACCGTGCTCTGGCACAACTCTTCCAACTGGGCCAGGACCAGCCAAGTGAATCGTGCATGAGCCTCATTCAGCGCACTCACACTTCTCAAACGATCCGGGAAACGGGCCTGGGCACGGTACGGATAGCATAGTGTGAGTAGGCCCTCAATCTCAAGTTGTTCAAAACCTGTATGTTTTTGTTTCATCTTTATCAGCGGAGTTCACTCTTAGCTGGTGATTGAAAATAAAGCGTGTTTGGCATGCTGTCCTTGGAGAGAGCCCTGAACTCAGAAGATCCTCAAGCCTTGGGCTCCCTCCCATTTCATCGTGAGAGAGGGGAGTCTGAGCTCAGATAGTTCTGGAGAGCTCCCTCGAATTTGTTCACTCGACCTATTTCTTGATTATTAGGGATTACCATAGTGAAATGAACCACCAACTGTACCAGCATATTGTTATGTGTTGAATGCCCAGTACTAAAACACTCATATACTGTGCCAATCTGGTTTATTCAATTCACTTATACTGCATGTCTTTGGACCGTGGGAGGAAAACGAAGAACCCGAAGGAAGCCCACGCGAGTACGGGCAGAACATGTAAACTTCTCACAGAAACACCAACTGGCCCAGCTGGGACTCGAACCAGCAATCTTCATGCTGTTAGGTGACAGTGCTAACCACTGAACTGCCGTGCCACCCTGTTCTGGATTACTCTAGGAAAGAGGGTGAGGAGTAGGGGTGGAGTGGGATTCTTCAAGGTAAACATGACCAAGGTAAGGAAATCTGGTTATTTATGTGCGTTTGGGTTTGTCTGATTGGTAAATCATATAATGGCTAACGCGGGACCAGCTGTGGTCAATCATGATCCTCTTGAAATTAGTTTATAAGTAAACTTCACTTCCAACTACACACACAAAAGAGCAAGAACAAAAAGTATTTAGTAACCAAGGATCTTCATAGTATTATTTTTATTCTATGGAAGTAGGTTGTTCTTTTTATGGAAGTAGGTTGTCTTTAGTGTTTAATAAAGAAACAAAATCATACAGGTTTGGAACAAGTGAGTAAATGATGACAGAAATATCACTACTGGGTGAAATGTTTCCTTATGATTTAAGCTTCAGATTCAAACATCTTCTTCCTGCCGCCCATGCCAGTTTTGTCCTCAATATTCTTTCGCCAGTCACCAACATCACGCAAATCTTTATTCTGTAGAGAAGAGAGTGAGATTTACAGCATGTACGTTTTTGAACTCACAGCACAGATTACCTGAAAATGTAAAAAAAAAAACATCAAATGAATCCTCACCTCCTCTTTGACCTCCTTCTTGACTTGTTTGAGGTTGGCCCTCAGATCCATGGAGACCTTGTGTTTGGAGCCCAGCAGAGCCTGAAGCATAGCGTCAGCAGACATGCGCACTTTCTTCAAAGGAGGCTTCTTGAACTTGCCCTTCAGGTCGACAATCTTGATGTTTAAGTCTTTGACCTGACACCCAAAAGAATCAAAACACTCCACAAACCTCCATGCTGATAGTCCACAAAGATGGAAGTACATAGGAAACGTCTTACCTCATTGACAACCATAGTGGCTTTGTGCTCGAGAACATATCTTTCCTCATCAATCACTTCGATTTTTTCATGTAATTTTCTGCAGAACTCCTGTTGACAAAGTGAAGTTCACAAACTTTGAACCTCCAAAAACACACAAAGCTTATATTTGTAGTAATAACTGAATTTGACCTCTAGTTCCTGTTTGGAGCTTGGGCATGAAAATGCAGGACAATGTTCTTCCATGTATCTCTTCCTCTCCTCCTTCTTCTCAACAGCCTCAGCTTCCAGTAAATCTTTTGCAACCTGGAGCATCATGCTCTACAAGCAAAGGGGGTTTGCACCATTTTAAATTGACCTGTGGCATGTTGGTTTGGATCAGCTAATCAGAAATGAGTCCTTACCTTCAGGCTGTGTTTCTTGCTGCTCGACAGTCGCTTCCTAATGAAGAGGAAAAACAGTATGTAACCCAGCTCACTGACTAGGTCACTAAAACAAATTATAAATAGTTTATTTTAAATTATAACATTTTATTTTATGATTGAGAGGAGAGATATTGAATAAAGTTCATTTATATTATATACATAGTGTTTAAATATTAATAATAAATTGAGAATAAAGTAAGTTTTGACTTGGTGGAGGTCAGCTCCGCCCCCTTGCGTGTGTGTGAGAGCTGCCGGTGACGGAGAGTCACTTTGATTAATCAGCGCGGGCAGATTGAACGACATTAGACACTTTGAAACAGCAGTTTAGATAATTCAAATGATTTAAAATCATATTGTTTCGGTGATTGACTGAAAGAAAGCCCTAAAGTTTCAGATTTTAAGGATAGGAAGCTGAAAAGTGATAGAAACGAGAGACGTGCGAGCGGAGTACATTTAATCAACAGAAAACTTATATTTAATCGAGACACATTCTTCTTTGTTCTCCCTGTTCATCTTTATCTTTCCTTGGCCGGGTTTTTTTTTTTTTGTGTGTGTGCATGTGTTCCCCTTTCGTGTTTCTGCTACAAAATCCCGATCTGTCCCTGCCGTGGATGCTTTCTCGGTGGTCCGGACATGGCGAGCCGTCCTTCTGAAAGATCGTAACTGGAATTAAATTAATCCGTTGCTCACTGAACTGGTTGGACAAAACATTCTTGCACTTTCACTGCGCTCATATTTTTGTTTTTATTCATCTTCTTGGATTTTTCTGTCTGGACTGATTTTTTGGATTTTTCACATCGAACTGGAACTAAAAAGAACTTTTGAGTGTTAAAACATTGAACTTGGACTCTGAATTACTATTTTTATTCAAAATTTTTCCTTCGTTTTTTTTATTTTTCTTCCTCAATGTATATGATTTGTGAGTTTATCATCTGAAGTGTGGTGATTTTATTATATATTTTATTGTTTTATTCTAGTATTAATCAAACTGAACTGTTTTGGCATTTATTTATTCGTTTTATTTTGTTTTCCTCATCTAACTTTCTCAAATAATATACTTACCTCAGTTATTTAACTTTATCTTTGAGTCTGACTCATTTGACTATCTAAAATTGGTTGTTATTTCTATACACTCTTGTGAGCGAATTAAAATCTTCTGATATCTGGTCCTAATAAGAAAATAGCAAATACTGTAAAAATAACGCAATAGAAAACGCATCAATAACACGTAGATAAGGGTTACAAGTAGGACAGTATTTTTGTGCTAATTGTACCTTGTTTAAATTCAAATTCAGTGCTCAAAAGATCTCTAGGTTTTCTAAGTCTTATAAAGCCTTCTATAGTTAGCTTTAGCTCTAAATCATGAGCCGTACGGTTTTTACATTTTTGCAGCTAATTAAAGGATTAGTTCAACAATCCTAAAAAATATCCTTTAAAAACCCCAAAGTTCTGAACTCTGTTACTATAACTGTAAATCAGATCACTCATGCGTGTAAAAAAAGAAACCAGATTGTTCACCAGTGTTTCCTCTTTCCCATCAAGGGTGTGTGTTTACTATGACATATTGCCATTTGAGTTAAGCCTGATTTATACTTCTGCGTCAAGTGATTAGTGTCACCCACCGCGCATGCAACGCGCATGGCTGTGCATTTATACCTCTGCGCACTTACTCTATTGGTCTGAATTAACACTTCCGAAACGCTAGTAGGCAGTGAGGTGTAAATGTTCCTCTGTGTCGAGTTTCTTCGCTGCTTTTTTGCTTTTCCTGAACACATCCGGTATGTACAAGTGGCTCAAACTCGCTCATTTTGAGGCAGCAACCGGCGGACGTGCAGCGACTTTAACTGAGAGGTAAACACAAAACAAAACTTTCCATCCGGAGCTCCTACACAGGACTCCACACTTTTAAACAAACGCTACATTGGGTTCGCGCCATTCGCGCGGCTCTTGGTCCCGCCCAGACTCATCAGCGCTACCAAGCCGACCAATCACAGAGCTTGCGCTACACGTCTTCGCGACGTGTAGTTACATTTTTTGAGCGGTGCACGTCAGTGACGGCCACGGCGAAGGGCTATGCGTCAGCGCCGTAGCATACGCCGGTGTTTGACGCAGAAGTATAAATCAGACTTTTGCAGCTCAAGCACTGTATTGCTTTAGTAAATGACCACCACACATAGCTTAAGACAGAACATAGGCAAAACAAAGATGTTTTTACATTACTTATTTATTTTATTTATTTATTTTGGTGCGCAAATGTGTTCTTCATATAATTAGCCACATTAAATGCTTTGAACATTTTTTTGGTTTCTTCTCTGGAAACCAACATCTCACCACCCTTGCTGTTTATGGAGGGTAAGAAAGTTCTTGGATTTCATCTAAAATATCCTAATTTGTCTTTTAAAGATGAAAGAAGGTCTTGGGGGATTGGAACAACATGAGGGTGAGAAATTAATAACAGAATTTTTAAGAGTGGTCTGGATGCAGATCTGGTGCAGTGCAATCTGAGCTGCATCCAATGCATTTTAATTTGCTCACCTAACCCTACCTCTCACGGTTATGTCACTAGCTCCATTGAGTGCATTGTGTCTAACATTGCATCACTGAGAGATGCTGTCTCAGCTTGCATCATCAAGGCTGCATTCAGATACTATTGGAATTTTCATCTCTGGGTGAACATGAGACACTGCTTGCTGCAGAGCAACTTGAGCTTCAACAAGGGGGAGCTTGAGCTCCAACTCCTTCTCCTATAAGCTGTTTTCGTTCGTACACCAACCCCTAACCCCAACCCCCAGTGACATCACTTGTAGAAGAAATGCAAGGATGGAGGAGCTGGAGCTCAAGCTCCCCCTTGCTGGAGCTCTGCAGCGAGCACCCCTTGGAACAAATCGCAAAGTACAGACCCGTTTTAAAATGTGTTTTGTGATGACAACCTTTAAAGCAATTTTTTTTACAGTCTGTTCAGTATTCGTAGTAGGGGTGTCAAAATTAATTGTTTCTTCGGTGCACCGCAATGCAGACGCGGACAATTCTGTATCGGTTCAGTAATAATCATAACCGGTTATTATGTACTGACGTCATTTATCTCCTATGCGCTCTGTCGCGAGGGAGGTGAGCGCGAGTATTTACAACACTCAGGCAACTCAGGGCCGGCCCGTGGCCTAGGCACCATAGGCATATGCTAAGGGCGCCCTTTCTCTGGTAAAAATGTAGAGATTCTGAATAGTAAAATCAAGGTAGAATATACTTACTCAGACATTGTGTAGAGTTTTCTTTACGCCTCCTTTTGTTTGGAAGATAAAAGAGAAATGAATCAGAGGCCAAAAATATAATTCTATGCCAGAATAACAACAAAAAGCATGCTTTATTTTTAAAATGAGGCAGAACACCATTAATATATTTTGAATATGTAATATGTGTAACTACAGTTCATTTAACAGTCGGAATATCACACTGTTGTCTACAGTGGAGCAGCTGAGATGAGAAAGTTAATTAAACATACGATTAATAAAAGAATGGCCTTTTGATACTGAGGATTGTCACCACTAAGTATGTCCTTGAATCATACTCTTGCTGTTTGTTTGGAATGTTAAAACAACAAATCCCAATACAATATTTCCAATGAACAACAGCATCAGGTTTACAATCCAGTGTTGATAACACAATCCTTGTATTTTACCAACTTATTCCAGCCAACATCAACCAAATCCAATTTATAGGCACCAAATCATAGGCAGTCTGATCTGGTGACCTTTCCCCAACGCTGTTAATGCCGAAAGTTTTGTAAACCCATGAAGACCACATGTTCCCCAAATCCCCATCGACTCATCTGAGAGGATTTTCTGCAGGAGTTCAGTGCAACATGATCTCAAGGTCAGTACATCAGCTGCAGACACAGCCCATCTTCAAGCGCATCTCTGGGATGTCAAAGATATGACAACACAGCTCTCCTTTATTCCCAGCTAAACAACCCTCTCAGATGTCTTTCTTAATATACTCCCACTCTAAAAGACAGACCGGACTAACTGGCCAGCTGATGACACACTGATTGACTTATTTAGTACACTTAAATGGGCTCTTAATGCCTCAATCACATACTTAGAAAGCTGCGAAGACAACAGGCAGATCACTAAAGGCTATTTGAGGAAGAACTATACTAAGTAGCCATGGAAGGAGATTGAGGACGTGATTTCTGGAAACATACACTACAGTAGAATAGATGAAAGTATTTTAAAAGCCTTGTGTTTGTATTGTGTTAAAGTTTGCTGTAATAAATACTTAAGAATTACTTAAAGTCAGGACTAATTGAAGACATCTACACAAATTCTGGAAAATAAGTAAATTTGTGAAGTTTATTTATAAACTAATTTCGAGAGGATCACGTGCTTATGATTGATTGCAGCCGGTCCCGCATTATTCAATTTATGATTCACCAATCAGACGATTCCTAAGCAACTATAAATACCCTAAGATCCATAGAACAGCCGTCTTCGTTTTGAAGAATCCCCTCTTCCACCTCTACTCCTCCTTCTTTCCTAAATGGATGGCCCAGTGGTTAGCACTGTTGCCTCGCAGCAAGAACATCACAGGCTCTAGTCCTTACAAAGCCAGCTGACATGTCTGTGCGGAGTTTTCACATTCCCCCATCAGGGTGTTTGCAGGGTCTTAAAAAGTATTAAAAGTTGATAAATCAATGTAGAGAAATGTAAGGCCCTTAAAAAGCCTTAAATGCTATTTTGCCAAGTAATAAATTTTATATCATTTTTTATTATGCAATGTATAGTTGTATGTTAAAGTTTGCCTGAATTAAATCTGCCAATATCAGGATGCTGTGTAGTTTATGAAATCAATAATATCCTACTAGATTTGACATCGTGCTGCTTTGTTTACTGCAGTAACCAAGGTAACACCATTATTTCTGCAGTTCTATAGGCACCAACCTGCTGAAATAGCTAGATTTAATAGATTTTTATTCAGTATATGAATTATGTTTTAGTTTTGGATTAATGCCTTACATTAATGTCTAGTAAATATAATCTAAGTTAAAATCTCGCCAGTGTTTCGGGTTGAAAAGTGCTTATAAAGTCTTCAACTGTTTGAAAAAGAGTCCTAAAAAAGGGCTTAAAAAGGTATTGAATTTCACTCTCTGATTTCTGTATATACTCTGCTCATGCTCAGGTGGGTTTCCCCCGGGTTCCCCAGTTTTTTGGACGGTCCTTCCACCATCCAAAAAATTGACTAATCCAAATTGGTAACATAGACATGCTCCTAGAAAGTAGTTATCTCTTAAGAGCAATTCCTATTGGTTCATTATCTACTACAGCAGGGGAGTTTTGAGATCTACTGTACCTGAGCTTAAACTCCCCTCTCACCTTGCAAACGGGAGGGAGCCTCGGGCTCAAGGATCTTATGAGCTCAGAGCTCTTTCCCGATGACAGCATACCAAACAAGCTTTCAGCTAAGTGCCTTAAACTCTTGAAGTGTTCTTTAAACCATTACAAAAACTCTTGGTAAATGTAGTGAACTGCGATGTCACTTTTACATGACACAAGAACTGTAAATCAGTTAGTAAGCACTGTAAAAAAAAAAAGGTGTTGACAGGTGGAGGAAGACATAAGCATCAGTCACAGATTTATGTCATGTTGGTGTTCACTTTCAAATGGCAAACCAGCAGTCAGTATATCAAATCCTGACCTTTCACCCTTCAGGTTAGTTGGTGTGGTTTTTAGTAGGATGTTTCCAGAAGGAACAGAATTATAATCAGCACTGATCATAGGATGTTAACATTTTTACAAATTGACTAGGTCTGACTGCACAACTGTTCTAGTCTAGATAAAAGTACTCAAGCAATCTACTCATTTGCAGATTACATTTTTACCATAGTGATTTACAGCAGATACAAAAAAACCTCCATCACCTTCATCCTCAGTCCCACAAACTACAGTAAAAACTTAAAGCAAATATCTACAAAACATATGTACAGTATATATGTAAAAGTAAGACAATGAACCGAGAACTTCTCTCACCTTTCTACAGGAATCGAAGAATGGTCTTCGAGGGACGGGTGACTGTAAAACCGAGACACAGGCAACAGACGTGCTAAGAAGATATATATTGCATTCTCTGATCTCCCTGCAAATCCATGGTTTCTCTTTATGGAAGTGGATTAACCACCAAACCAATGAGCTGACAAGGTCATGAAATACGGCACTATCCCTCCTTCACTGAGCCTTCAGTATAAATAACCTGTCCTTCGAGATTCCTTTATTCAGAGAATGGCTTTCTCACAAAGACCTCTTTCTTTTACAAGCATCTGTGTAGCTATCTATCTATCTATCTATCTATCTATCTATCTATCTATCTATCTATCTATCTGTCTGTCTGTCTATCTATCATATGCACTAAAGCATCAATGTATCAATACAACATGGTTACCTCATGAATGATGTTCAGCATACACCATTTCCAGCTTGTTTTTTTCTTGCAGGGGCCAGAAAGGAGTCACCGTTACCTATTAAGCTGAATCATAATAAAGTTAGCCATTTTAATTCAGTCATAAACCAAATGAAGTAGAAAAGAGGAATATAAATACTTACATTTACTCATTTAGGAGACGGTTTCATCCAACGTGAGGATAAAAGAAGCACTTCAAATGATCCGAGTTGCAGTGTATAAATGTTATGACCAGTCAATATATATTTTTCTCAAAGCATACAGAAAGTAGGACAGTGTGTGTCTCTTACAGGTGGTTTGTCAACCCCACTCTGTGTAAAGCACACTAAGAATTGAAAAATGTTTTTTTCAGAAATACGGAGTGTTGATAAGAAAGTGTCTGGTATGTATAGAGAGGAAGGAGTGTGTACTACAGGTGGTTTGTCAAACCCACTTATTTGTGTAAATCACACTAATAATTGATAAGAAAGTGTCCATTAGAGCTGAAAATCTTTGCCCGAACCCGGCAGGTCCCGATACATGAATAGTCATCTGATGCATTTCGATTAGCGCAAGAAAAGTAATCAAATCGTTTATTACAACATTTAAATCCATCCCTGCAAAGGTGAAACAAATGATGACAGAGAAGTTAAAAAGAGCGAATTTTGACTGCGGTCAGGCAAGCCGCCAGTTCAGAAAGAACGGTCATTCTCGCCGCCAAGGTATTTCGTCAGTTGCTCATACACTGAGTATTATGATAGAGTGCTAAACAGCAATGGACAGCAAGCTGACAGAAAAAGTGATGAGGCCACTCGCTACATTAAAACTGCCGTCATGAAAAATGAAATGGATGTTCTTGGCTGGTAGAAGATGAACAAACAAGCCTACCCAAAAACATGCTAAATTAGAAAGATCAGAATTATGCATCTCGGCCTGTAGCAGCAGCAGTGAAAGGGTGTCTGGTGCTGCTGGACGCACCATGAACGCAGGACTGCGCTAAAGCCATTTACAGTGGATTCAATAATGTTAATGCACAAAAACACGTAGCCTAATCTTGGTGAGTAAAGGTTTTTAAATGATTAATAAACATTATTTTAACCAAATCATAATGTAGACAGAGTATACAGGCTAATGTTGGCATTAGGCTGTTATTTTTATAATCAGCTTCACCGTCGCCTTAAGGCCAGATCGTGAAGAGAAGTGGTGAAACATATCTCGAAGAGCCGTTATCTTAATTTCATTATTGCCAAATACCAGTCATAATTTAGAATTTATTTTAATTTAATTTGTTGAGAAAGACTTATTTTCATTGGTGCGTTGGCCAATTTAAAGGCTAAGTGTATGTACCTGTGCCTATTTAGAGTGCTGAGAAGTTACGATGTTCCAGAGGACTTATTTTATTTCATTGTTCCAGCTTCCAAGTGGCCTATAGCCTACGTTTGTTACGCATAAATTATAGTAAGACATATAAATGACTCATTTTATAAAAAGCTGTGTGCATGTGCACATTTGAATAATGTCAGGCTGTAAACGGATTCGGGCTTTAAAAAAGCTGTCAATCAAAATGTACCTGTCGGGCTCGCGCCGAATTCTGTCGGGCTCGGGCCCTATCAGGCCTAATTTTCATGACCCGATTACAGCTCTAGTCTGCAATACTTGTAGATCAGATTGCCAATGCTTATTTTTTAAATGTTTTTTTTTTATTATTATTAGTGATTAATGTGCCAAAATAATCACAGGACATCATTCTTCCTAAATTGATTTAATGACTGTAAGACTTTGATACATGGGCTGAGGATGCAGACTTCAGTTCCATTGTTAAACAGAAAACTAAAAAAACAATCACTTTTGCATTTGATAGCTACAATAGCGAATTTAAATTTGTGTTTCATGTACACAAGCAGTTTCTTGTAAACTAAAGGCCAAAATTAATTGAGCAGCATAATGAACTTCATAAAGCTAAATTTAAGCCTCAGCTTCAAACATCTTCTTCCTGCCGTCCATGCCAGCCTTGTCTTCAACATTTTTACGCCAGTCCCCAACATCACGCAGTTCTTTATCCTGTGAAGAGTAAATACATGTAACATTTAATTAGTGAGAGAAAGTATTAGAGGGGGACCTAATATACAAAAATTACTTTTGCAAGGGGTTTAAACAATTGTGTGGCAACAGTCGGCGAATATAACAAGCTTCTAATGGTAAAAATGTATTAATTTTATTTCTTAAAATCACACTTCGTAAAACAGTCTGCAGAAACGATTTGATTGACATTTTCCCTTTTGTACATATCATTAGAAGAGGGAAAGTTTTTGCCCATTAGTGATGATCTCTCCCTCATTAGCATAGGATGTTAATATCTTGTTTTTGAATCTGCCACTATGCTGACACGCAGCCATTTGTAGCTCTGCCCACTTTTGAAAAGATCTCATTTCAATTTAAAGTGACCAAAGTTACCAAAAACAGCACAACTAGGATCAAAACACAAAAGGGGCAGTTTCAACAGAGTTCAAAAGCATTATTTGTAGACTATTTTGAGCTGAAACGTCATATACACTAGAGATGTGCGGGTCAGCTAAAATGACACTCGAATTCGCAGCTTCATACTACTACAACCCGCCCACACATATAGTTTTATCTGATATATGTATCCGCACCCGACCCGCACCAGATCTTCAATTTAATCATTTAATTATTTGTTTTAGGCATGATGATAGGTCACCATGGATATTAACAGCAGATTCAGTGAGCTATAATCTGTGCATTTCTGATAGTAAAATAATAGGCCTATGTTCATCGTAAACGTTTTTTTAAACGACCATTTATTTTTAAAAACAAAAGTTTATCTTTAGACAACATTTTCTTCATTTTCAAATCGATACAGAAAGTAAAAACAAGACATTTTAGCTTTTACAGATACAGGAACAAGATCACAAAAACGGTGCCACTTCAGCCTAAACGGCAGCCATGTTATGTTTACTTGGCCTTTTTCTTCGCACTGTGCAAAAACAGAATAGGATTTGTCCGATTCCGCATCGCCTCCAAAATTCGGCCACCTGCACTGAATGAGCATTCGCTTTCACCATTTGTTGTAGGAATGAACACGATTCTCCTCGCAAGGCGCTGCAGTCGTGGAAATATGCGATCTTGTTTCTCCCAGAACGATAGCTGTTTTTCCTTCGAGGACTCCTCTAACTGAAACTTTGAACAGGTATGCTACTCTTGCACTTCATCCATTATTTTGGGCGTCTCATCTTCCCATTCTGCAAAGCCCACTCTGCTTTTTCGCTGTTCCACTGCCATGTCCCGCTACATCTACCCACAACCCACCCGCAATTAATCATAATGTATTTTTTTTTTATTACCCGGCCCGCTTGACCTGCGGATTATTCGCAGCGCCCGCTGATATAACCGCCATCCGCGCATCACTAATATACACTCTAGGGACATTAGAGCCTCTTTTTAGACCTTGTAAAAAGAGGCATAGTAGGTCTCTTTTAAGGAGTTAGGATTTGCAGTTTAAATGCTCACCTCCTCTTTGACCTCCTTCTTGACTTGTTTCAGGTTTGCTCTCAAGTCCAGAGAGACCTTGTGTTTGGAGCCCAGCAGAGCCTGAAGCATCTGATCGGCAGACATGCGCACTTTCCTCAGCGTTGGCTTCTTGAACTTGCCCTTCAGGTCAATAACTTTGATATTCAGGTCTTCAATCTGCAGTCACCCCGTGAGGACCATCAGTGGAAAAATTACGAGATCAAATACAAATTGGATTGGAGTAGAATTAGGATTTCTCACCTCCTTTGCACATTTGTTGACTTTCATTTCCAGATCATATCTTTCCTCATCAATCACATCAATTTTTCGATGAAGATCTCTGCACAGTTCCTATAAAGAATGGAGATAAGTATTTATTTACCTACTTTATTGCATGGCTCTCTTGAACACGTTATTCTAAACTAAGAATTAGAATACGTTAGTCTAATGAGTGGGATAATGTACATCTAGCCAGTTGTTTTTTGCAGAACAGTCCTTTCAGTCTAATGCAAAAGCTGCTGATAAACTCATCATGCTTTATTCTGTCAGAAAAACTGCCTCCATGTGGAGAGGGGTCTGGCTGCAGACCTGATGGAGTGCAATCTGGGCTGCATCCAATGCTTTTTAATGGGCTCACCTAACCCTACCCGTCACAGTGACGTCACTAGCTCCATTTGAGTGCAATGTTTCTGACATTGCATCGCTGAGTGATGCAGTCTCAGCTTGCATTATAAAGGCAGCATCCAGATACTATTGTCCATGTGGGCATTTTGATGTCAAAACAACATAAAAAAATATGTTAAATTTGCTAACAGTTTGACGTCAAAACGACATTAAATTGACATTGAATATTGCTATCAAAAACAGTCGAAAAATCCAGCTTAAACCAGCCTAGGCTGGTTGGCTGGTTTTAGCTGGTCAACCAGCCTGGTTTTAGAGGGGTTTTGGCCCCTTCTAGGCTGGTTTCCAGCCATTTCCAACCTGTCGTAGCTGGTCAGGCTAGGAGATGACCAGCTAAAACCAGCTTGACAAGCCTAGCCTAATCTGGATTTTTCAGCAGGGCTGTAATCGATTTAAGATGTCACTTAGATGTCTTTTTGATATCAAGGTAATTTGCATGCATCATAGAGATACACAATCCAGTGTAATTTTGTCATTTGTAATTAATGCTTTTAGATCAATTAAACTTATATTATGATACTCTTTTCATGTCATTATTTTGGTGGTCAGAAGGACATCAATGTGTGGATGTCAAATGGACCAATCTAATCAGTTTGCATTTTGCGTTCATTTCAATATCAATTTGTAATCATTTTGATGTCAAGGTGAATGCTGTTCTAGATGTACTTTGTCCCTTACACCAAGGGTCACCAATCTTGGTCCTACTAGGTCCTCTAGGTTTAGAGCAGTGGTGGCCAACCCTGTTCCTGCAGATTTCAGTTGCAACCCAAATCAAACACACCTGCCTGTAATTATCACGTGGTGTTCAGGTCCTGATTAATTGGTTCAGGTGTGTTTGATATGGGTAGCAACTGAAATCTGCAGGAAGGTGGTTCTCTAGAAACAGGGTTGGCTAAAGTTTAGCTCCAACTTACCTCAACACACTTTCCTAGAAGTTTTAAGTATACCTAAAAACATCTTAATTAGTTTGATTAGAGCAGAAGCAAAGATCTGCAGGACACCAGCCCTCCAGGAACAAATTTGGTGACCCACGCCTTACACAATATGTTTTCAATATAGGGTGTCATACACTTATTTATTTATTATGTTTTTTTATTGCCTGGTACCTGTAATGCCTGCATGGATCCAGGTAGGGAAAGAGGCTGACAGGTTTCTGCCATGTATCTCTCCCTCTCCACCTCTCTGTCATTTACCTCCTGCTCCAGTAAACCCTTAGCGATGGAGAGCATCAAGCTCTGGAACATAAAGATGCAGGGGATTATTGTAACTAATCGCAGTTTTTCTATTGCATCGGTTTATTTCCTCAAATCATCATTAATATTTGCAAAGAGGTTTGAGCATTTCTCAAAACAATACCACACAATGGATTCATTTACACAAAAATACTTTAGCTCATCTTTCAGAGGTAAGTTAAAAATCCCTTTGTCATTGATCAATTAACAGGCAGTCAAAATGCTTTGTCAATATTACAGGACACATAATATAATGTATTTAATTGCAGAAAAATGCACATTACGTGGGAAATTGACTGAAAGAAACTGCATATGATTTACTGCTATCTATTTACATAGTGGTCTGACAAATAATTACAATGTTACTGGACACAAAGTAAAAAAGGAATTACTGTAGAAATACAAACACAGGAAACCCTGCTAAGGAATTGCAAGCCCAAACTCATAAGGCAACGTAAAAGTGGCTTATTTGTAAGAATTCATACAATTTCAAACTGCAAGTTTAATTGTCACAAGTGTTTCCTAACACACCAGAATGCTATATTTCTTGTCTGTCTCACCAAAAACATCTTATCCATGTTTCAAAAGCTGTTTATTGTGACAGAAAACAACATCCAACACCAAAGTAAGCCTAGTTCACACAACATGACCGAAATCATCGGATCGCTGTGCCGTTCAGACAACATGACTTGATTTTGTGTCTTTAAATCACTGTTGTGACCACACTACATTATATGACAACAACTCTTTCACCTAACAGCTCTAATATCTCAATAGTTCTGTCAAGCACCCAAACCACAGTCAATTAAATGTTGAGGGGACAGAGCTTTACATTTACATTTACATTTAGTCATTTAGCAGACGCTTTTATCCAAAGCGACTTACAAATGAGGACAAGGAAGCAATTTACACAACTAAGAGCAACAATGAATAAGTACTAAAGGCAAGTTTCAGGTCTGTAAAGTCTAAGAAGGGAAGTGTTAGTAGTTTTTTTTTTTTTTTTTTTTGTACAATTAGTGTGATATTCAAAGAGGCAAAGAGAGCTATCAAAGACATGGCACTATCCAGTTACAGAGGGTGACAATGTGGCTGTATTTTAGGGCCTTGGGTTTTTGTGACAATAATAAAACAAAAGAAAAAGGTTAAACATCTTTAAGGGGACCGGATTAACATGTCGCTAAACTAAACGGTGGGAATGTTTATTGTTTTAAGATGATCGACAGGCTTTTAAAGATGTACACTCTCAGATGCTGTCAATAAATGTGTAAGTTGGCTCTTTTTTTGCATGATAATTCTTCATCAATAAACAAGAATAACCAATATGTCTTGTATTCAATATAAAGTGACACTTATAGTACACTACTTGCTACTTTAATTTCCCAAACAGTAATTTTGGGCAAAGTATCGGTACCAGATCAGTATCGCCAATACTCGCCTTTATTTTACTTGGTATCGGATCGGATAGGAGTGGTATCGCACATCACTACTACACATTACTGAACATATTTTATATTAAAAATTGTAACGTATACCAAAAATATATCCATTAGAAATTTTCATTTTAATTTATTAATTTCAGTTAATTTATTTTTTTTTTTTTCGAACTTGATTTGCTATTTGTTGTACTGTATTTGTAGTATATACCTTCTATTGACAGTGACATATCATTTTGCAAGTGATGGCTTACATCAGAGGTTCTCAAGCCTGTAGATCCACCTTCCTGAAGAGCTTAGTTCCAACCCTGATCAAACACAACTAAACAGACAGGTGTGTTTGATCAAGGATGCAGCTGAACTCTGCATGAAGGCAGATCTCCAGGAACAGGGTTGGCCACCCCTAGCTTACATGAAAGTATATTTGAAGAGATTGACGGTTTCACTAAGAACCAGCTAATCCATCTTGATCAGCAAGCCACATGCTTTTAGTTATTCTTCAAAATTGATGTAATTTATATTTATTCATTTGTAACCATGTGTCAAAACACATTTTAAGCAACTTGCTTAATGAAAGAACTGCGCTGTGCATGTATTGGCCATTGAATAACTTTTATATAACGTGCGTGAGAGATAATTTAATAATAGGCAAAGTTCGTTTTGAGTTTATTTTCAACTTTTGGGGGAGTTAGTTTTGGCTCCTAAACACCTTTAGCTAAGCTACCATTGGTCTGTGGCGATTAAGCAATTGGTGGGTATGTTCTGGAACTCCATCTTCTTTGACATGCAATTAATTTGAATCACATATTTAAGGAGGTCAGACAGGAGAACAACATCCAACACCAAGGTAAGCCTAGTTCACACTACAGTACATGACTTTAAAAATCATCAGAGTGCTGTGCCATTCAGACTACATGACTTGATTTTTTGTCTTTAAATCACTGAGGTGTTTGGCAATAACCCACAAGAGTGGGGCTTGAACTCTAAATGATATGACAACAACTCCTTCACTCAACAGCTCTGTGAAGCCCCCAAACCACAGCTAATTTAATTGGTTGCTTGTGTGATGACTTCACTGACACACTGGGCCTTATCATACAACTGGTGCAATAAGGCAAGACTTGTTTGATGTAATTTGTTGCTATTTTCATACCAACGCAACTCTAATTTTCACAATTTGTGCCACGCTGTTTAAGAAGCAAATCCATTTGTGCCACTTTGTGGACTCATGGGTGTTCCGGTCTATCAAGGAGGTGTGTTAAGGCGCATTGCTGGAACATTGCTATTTTTAGAAACTAAAATAGATCATGCCACTGACCAAATAAAAGCTGGTCTAAAGTCGCTCTTCATTATTATTTTTCATTTACTCGTTTGCTGGAAATTAGAACTGAATTTAGAAATAGTTTTGAAACAAATCTTTGCGCTTAAACTAAATTAAATATGTAGGCTAATGGATGTCTTCAGCGGAGTGCGTACAACATCGTTTCCTTATCCACGAAAGTAAAGGAGTAATGTAATGAGTAAAAGTAAAGAGAAAGTAAAGAGGCTAAATGCAGGAGGCTCATTCTTTATCCTTGGTTGCAGATGGTCTGTTCAACTGTTTTCTTGTAGTGTAGCATTCAGTTTTCCACTTACAAAGTCCGCCATGTAAATAACAACTGTGCCATGGCAAGACGCAACTGACTTTTAAAGGGAATAAGAGATAAGACTCTGATTGGTTTAATGCATGTTATGCCCAAAACATTACTCATAACTCATTAAGAGAATAAAGTGAATAAGCACAACCCTGTTAGATCATGCACCGGGGCGCAAAGTAAATTGGATTCGGACACGGCCTTGATTCTTTTGCGCCATGCGCCTTAGACTTTGCACCTAGATCATTAAAATAGAGCCCACTGTGTATAAAATCTTTCTGAGATCGTTTAAGTGACCATTTGAAAGCACCATCAATGAGTGGATGAGTCTGTGGATCGATCACTCATATATCTGCATGGTTCAGCCGACAGATGTGGCTTTAAAATGCTCTCGTGTCCATGTAAATGCAGGCTGAAGAAAGTGCATCAATGTCCATTCTGACCATTTAGAGACATTTCCATTGAGCTCCTAAACACAATGGCCATTGAGATTATGAGTTGCTCTCTCATTGGCTGCAACTTGTCACTATGGCTGTTTCTCGATATGCGTTCTTCAGCGATCTTGCGTCCTTGTGTAACGTCATCATCAAATTCAGTTTCATTACTTAAAACCCCAAGTACTGAGTACACGTGAAAATTCCTGGATGTGTTCTAGATATCAAGGACACACCGATGCGGACTTGAGCGCAAAGCTAGCTTGTGAAGTCCCAAAAGTCATTGCGATCAAATAAATGAGGTGGGAACTGCAGCATTTTTTTTTTTTTTAGATTTATTATTAAAGTTTAAAGATGTAACTTGTTTATCTCAGGAGTATCCTACATGAAATGGTGAAAGTAAACATTACCATGAAAATCTTAATAAAGACAAACACATTAAGGGTGTTCATTTGCTGAAATTCCTATTAAAACCAGTTTTATTTGTATTGTGCAACGTATATTTGTAAAGTCTTTATGCAAAGTATATATTGTGAAAAGGTAAAAAAACAATAAATCGTATGAATGCTGTAATGTTTAAATCATTTTCTGTTAAAAACGCATGAAGGTCTCGTGACCAGCAGGAGGTACCAGGGAAGAATGCTGCATCTCATCTCTCACAGGACGCTTTCTCTGTTCTCACAGTCCCCTGAGTTCGTTCTCAAGAGGACACCTGGCAAGACCGGTCTCCACAAGAACGCAAGTCCGTTCTCTGCATTCTTGGAATTGAGAAACAGCCTGTATCTGATCAAGTCAGCTGACTGGTCTGGAATATTTAGCACGCTAGGTATTGGATTTTCATCTGCAAGGCGTCAGCGATGAATCAGCGAGCCTCTTTAATGCATCGTACAGTAGTTCACACAAAGACCACGAGCACCAAGAACCAGATTCTCTCCCAATCATCCCGATCTGTTGGCAAGCTTAAAGTGGTGTTTAAAATCCTGTAGTGTTAGTGTGAGTTTGGCTTTATCAACATGAATAAACAGAAGGGTGGAGTAGCAGAGCTGTTACAGATATATCCGCACCTGTACGATCACTCAAAGAGATTTTAAAGTCAAAATATTCGTTTTCTTTGAGTGTATGCACACCAGCAGTGCCATTCTGTGTCTGTCTGTGGCAAATAGAAAACAATATAAAAATGTGGTGGGCCATGGTGGCACTTTTCGCGCGAGTGCTAGTTTGTCAGATGTTCCCAAAAATGTTTTCAAAGTTTTGTTCAGGGCATTTACAGCACAGGTGTTGATTTTATTGTACATTTGTTGTGTTCCTCTTTCTGCATACTATACAGTTCAATTAATTACACAACGAACAATAAGTTTCAATTGGAGTCATAAGGTACCTTCAGATGATGCTTGCGACTCGATGACATCTTTTTCCTGAGGTGTTTTAAAATGGTGAGATCAGTCATTAAAATACATTGTTAAAGCAGATATTAATAGAAAGACACTGCATGCATATTCAAAGCTATGCAAAATATAGTATAATAAATGCAAAACTGATGATGATTAAAACAGGAAAATGTAAATATGTACTCACTCCGACATCTTGGCTGAGTTTTGTTTTTGCCCCTGTGAAATAACACAATTTATGATTATTTCAAAATACAGTTAATATTTCAATGCGCAAAACAGTAATGCGTTTTTTATTAGCAATGAAAACATACCAAGCATTATTAATTTAAAAATAATGTTTGTTAGTGTTTAGTTTAATTAAAAAATAAAAATAAAACAAGAAAAACAAACCTCCTCTGATATTAAACATGCATTGATATAGTCGCAGGGTTTTCTTCATCATATTTAATTAATTATTTATTTAAAAATAAAATACAATATATTCTTGTAATATATAACCTTATTAAATAGTTGTCATTTTAAATGTATAATTGACATAATATAATATTATTAAATGCAGTGGGCATTTTACATTTATCCTAAACCACTTTTTCAGCATTAAAAATATCTTTTAAACATCGTTTCATTGAGAAGGACTCTACAATTTATTTATTTATGTGTTATTTTTGTCAAAAGCATCTGCTAAATAACATGTAATTCAGGAGTTCACACTTAGATATGCTTGGTGTTAATAGCAGGTTTGGCATGCTGTCTGTACCAAGAGAGAACCCTGAGCTCGGAGATAATTAAGCCCAAGGCTTCCGCCCGGTCAATAAGCACAGTAAGGCGGTTCAAGATCAGGTAGGTCTCAAGAGCTCCCCTTAGAAAAAAGAGGAAAGGAAGAGATTGGGTCCGGGGCGGATTGGCCATCTGGCAATTGTGGCAAATCCCAGAAGGGCCGGACCATTTTTTAAATGTGGGTCGGTCAGTTTTTTAATATATTTTTTTTTTATTGTATCGTTTTTACATGCAGGCAGATTTTATTTCTTCCAAGATCTGAATATAATGATGATGATGATAATAGTAGTAATAGTAATAAATGTTTAGCATTTGGCCCAACCGGCAGGTTTCGAGATGGGCCGACCCAATCCGACATAATCAGAGGTTACATTGACGTAATCAAAATCTGGCAAGAATGTCAAACAAACAGTAAGTGCAACACAAGCTAATTGTCAAAGATGGACAATAAAAAAAATAGGAAAGGCGAGGGTTACTCGAAAAGTTCAGAGTAAGCAAAAAAAAAAAGTGAGCAACGCGGTGGCGCAGTGGGTAGCGATGTCGCCTCACAGCAAGAAAGTCACTAGTTTGAGCCTCGGCTGAGTCAGTTGGTGTTTCTGTGTGGAGTTTGCATGTTCTCCGCGTGTTGACGCGGGTTTTCTCGGCATGCTCCGGTCCAAACACAAGCGCTATTGGGGAGTTGGGTAAGCTAAAATTTGTGTGAATGTGTGTGTACGAGTGTTTCCCAAAACATATGCTGGATGAGTTGGTGGCTCATTTTACTGTGGTGACCCCAGATTAATGAAGGGACTAAGCCGAAATTAAAATGAATGTATAAATTTGTTATAAATGGGTTGTTTTTGTTCCACTCACATACATTAAATGTTTAAATATCTATTAAATGTGGTACAGCTTATATTATTTCACCATCTGTACACCAATATATTTGCGTGTCTGTGAGTGGGGCTGTGTCGGTATGGTAATGTGGGCTGGTGTGGCAACAGTGCCAGGGCAGAATTTTTGTCACAGTCTGCCCCTGGATTGGGTGGAAGGGAGAATTCTTCCAAAATGAAGCCAAGGCAGTATGGCAAAATCTGTCTATTTATAGTAAGCTTGGATCAATCTGATAATTACGGATGAAAATCCAGCCGTGACAAATCATATCACGTGCTCCTCTTGAAATTAGTTTATGAAACTTCACTTAGTCTGGGCAGTAATCATTGTGTTGAAATAAGGCAGTGATGGACACTTCTGATCCAAAATGAATCAGTCACTATTTTGGGGCAGAAGGTTCACCATCTCCTGAGATTTTTGCTAAGCCTGTTTCTGGATGACAATCAAAAGCATGACCTCGGCTCTATTCCTTTCCTTCCAATCCTCTGAAACCGATCTAACACAACAACTCAAAGCATGGCGGCAACTTTAATGTAATACCAAATGATTATA